TCTGTTGAGTTTCGAGGGTTCTTTACAAATTCTAGATAGGAGTCCTTTGCCAAGTGTGTGGTTTGGCTGGGAGAAATCTCTTCTCCCAGACTGTGGTTAGTCTTTTCATCTTAAGAGTATCTTTCCCAGAGAAAAATTGCTTAATTTCGAGGAAGTCCAATTTATCTTTTTTTTCTCATGTAGATCAAGCCAAAAGTGTCAAGTCTAAGAACTCGCCACCTAACCTAGCCTTAGGTCTCAAAGATTTTCTCCTTGGTTTTCTGTAAAAGTTGCATAGTTTTGTTTGACATTTAAATCTGTGATCCGTTTTGAATTGATTCTTGTATAAGGTGTGAGACTTAGGTCGAGAGCTGTTTTTCGTTTCTCTCTGTGATGTCTAACGATGCCAGCATCATTTGCTGAAAAGACTTTCCTTCCTCCACTGACTTACATTTCTATCAATTGACTTCCTTTAACTTATTATAACTCCTATATAACCTACTTTATAATGCCCTATCTTATGAAAACTATATCTCCTTCTCTCTCTCTCTCCCTCGACAACGAATAATTATAGAGAGAAGTGCCACGCCAATTCACAGCAGACATAAACCATTCCCACCCTCGTGGTGTTGGCATTCAATGGCCGAGACAGATTATCAACCGGCAGATGAAGGAAGGCGTGCGCCTCTGCCCGGGAGGTCACCTGGTGAGGGCCATTTGAGGATGGACCGATCAACAGCTGGGGCCTGAAGGCGGGGGAGCAGCTGAGTGTCAGGGAGGGGTTGGAGAAGGGGAGGCCTTGCCCGGCGTGGCAGGCGGTCTGGGCTCAGTCTAGGAAATGGGAGGCCATTGGGGGCGTTTTGAGGAAGTGGGGATGCGATTTGATCTCCTTCCTGAGTTTTCCCCACATCAGACAAGGCTCCCCAGCCTTTTCGTCCAAGTGAATAAAGAGAGCCGCGGTGGGCAAACCCTGCTGGACCTCCTCCACCCCGCAGGGGCTGGGGTTCGAGCCACAGGTTTATCAGCTCCTTTCCCGCTCTGAGCCCCTCCCTGCCTCTTTCCAGGTGATAAGAACCGCTGGCCAGAGCAGGACACAAAGGCGGTCAGCACAGCTGCAGGAGGGCCGTGAGAGGTGGTTCGCAGTGATGTATGCAGTGGGGGCTGCTGGGAAGATAGCTTTTCCGTTGCGAGCGGCCTCTTGGGGTAGATATTGCCAGATTACACATCTAGTGTCATTAGGAAGCACGGCTATAAATTAGGCTGCTCGGAGGCATGGGGTGTGTAATAATTAAGTAATAAAAGTCACCACAGGGGTAACGGGGAAGCAGGAAAACAAAGAGCCACTGTTTGTAGATGCACCACAGGCTGCTCTGTAAAGAGACCTCTAAGCACAAGTGGCATTTCAAAGCCACTGAACCTCTGCTCAGATAGAGTCCTGGGTCTGCCCAGTCCCTAAGCGGTCCCCGTGTAGGCAGATAGTACCAGAGCTCAGGCAGGGCGGGAGGGCGGGATGGGGCTGTCATCTGTCTCCGGAGGCACAAATCCAACACGTGGAGGGTCCAGCAGGTGGGGGCCCTAACCTAGTAAAAGGGACAAAAGGAAGGGACACACCTGAGGCTGATGGCACCTGACCCTCAGCTCGATTGTTGCCATACAGGAGGACAGACCCACACGGTCGGAGCTTACCCATTTCCAAGACAACCTGATTTTTTAATGTAAAATCCCCCCATTTTCGAGTCTTGACAGTGCTTTCCAAGTCTTCTAAGACGACCGTGCAGGCCAAATCGAGCCCGAAGCCAGAGGCTCGGAGTTTGCGGTCTCAGGTCCTCGCCGTGTGATCTTAGGGGTCACTTCCCTTCTCAGACAGGCCACGTCCTCCTTCCCTTGTCTGTAAGACAAAGTCACGGGTGAGGTCAGGGGCTCTGAACTTTCTGGGGCACCCGTGCGCCTGAGAATGTGATACGGGCTATGGTTCCTCTCCCTAGACCAGACACCTGCACGCACCTGCTCAGAAGTGCTGTCTGCAATTTCATGGGACCTCAGGGGGCTAAGGGCGCCGGGGCGGGGTGATGTCTGAGGCCTGTAGCCTCGCACATGCATCCCACACGCAGCGCGGCCACCTCCAGACCCTCTGACTCAGAACGTGCCTTCGGCGGGGTTGTCCGTGGTCCGTGCACACAGGAGAGTTTGCAAAACGCAGCTCCGTGCTCCTTCGGCTGGAGAAAGCTCTGTGATTTCCAGTCCCAGGACCTTCTCGGACGGCACTCGTCTGCACAGGTGTTTCCCAAAGTCTGGGCTGAGGCGCTCCCGGGCATTCGCCTCCTGGGGCTGCTGTAACAAGTTGTCACCAATTCGGTGGCTTAAAACCACAGAGATCCATTCTCTCATAGTTCTGGAGGCCAGATGTTTGAAGTCACGGTGTTGGCAGGGCCGCGCCCCCTCGGGAGGCCCCCGGGCGGAACCTGGGCCTGACCCTCTGAGCCCCTGGCCTCTCAGGCATTGCTTGGCTGGTGGCCACATCGCTCCGGTCTGCCTCCGTCTCCGTCTTCACGTCACCTGTCCTCCTCTCTCTGGTCTCCCTCCTGCGTATCTCCGATAAAGACACTCGTCGCTGGACGTCGGGCCTACCCTGAAAAGCATTTACATAGATATTTACGCCATCTTTGCAATCCTTGACTTGACTGTATCTGCAAAAGCCCCGTTTTCCAAATAAAGTCATATACACGGGTTCTGGAGATTAGGATGGAAACATACTTTTTTTGGGGGGGTGGGGGGAGGCAGCCATTCAACCCATTACCCCCCGTATCGACACTACTTTCTATATTTGTTTTTAAAACGCTATTTCTTGGGCCTCCGCTCACTTCCTGAGTCAGAGCCTCTAGGGACGGGGGCCGGGTGATGCTTAAGCACCGGAAAATCTCTGCGAACCCTGACTCAGAGACACGAGGACGTCATCAGCTCAGACCCAAGCCGAGTGGGGGAGAAGGTGACCCAGGCCGTTTGGCATCGAAAGGAAGGTCGTAGAGCAGTGACGGGGAACGACGAGCTCTACTCACTAGATTTTTTCCTTCTCCTCTTTTTGCTTCTTATTATGAAAATTGTCAAAAATGCACAAAAGCAGAGCAACAGCCTAACAGACGCCACAATCGACCCTCATCCCGCGGCTCCGACCATTATCAATACACCCGGCCATTCTCGTCTCGTCTTTTTATTTTATGTTATTGTATTTTACTTTTTTTTTTTACTGGAGTTTCTTTTTTAAAGTAAATTCTAAACAACGTATTATGTCACCCACAAACCCTGCAGTCTGCATCTCTAACAAATAAAGACGACATAAATAATCGCGGGACCGTTATCGCACACGACGTAACTTTTAATATTTCTTTAATGGTTTCTAAAACTCAGCTGGGGTTCACTGTTGCCTGGTGGCCCCCCAAACACCTTTTCACCATGGGCTTGTTCGAATCAGTATCTGAACAAACGCCACCTACTGCATTCAGTGGGTGTGTTTCTTAAGTCACTTTTCGTCGAGATCCCTTCCTCGTTCTCTCTTTTCTCCAGTGTCCTCTGTCTGCTGAAGCAGTCGAGTCGCTGGTCCTGGGAGTGTGTCACGCTCTGGACTTGGCGGATGACATCATCACAGTGGTGCGGAGCATGCTCCTCTGTCCCCTGCTTTTCCCGTAAACGCAGGTAGGTGGGCGGCGAGTCGCGTGTGTCCAATACGGCAGCACCGGCCGCCAGCGGCTACTGAGCCCTTGAAGTGAGTCTGGTGCCGCTGAGGAGCTGAATTTTCCATTCTATTTCATTTCGACGAATTTAACTTCAAATGTAAAAATCGGATCTTTTAAGTATCTCATTAGTGTTTTAAAGAGATTATGTGTTGACATGATAATACTTGGGATATGTTAGTAAAATTAATTCCACTTGCTTCTTCGTACTCTTTTCCACATGACTATTAGAAAAAAAAATGAGTTACACGGCGATTCACATTGTCTTTCTATCTGACAGGGCTGGGCTAGAAATTGAATTACTTTCTGGTTTGCTTTGCTGCTGTTGTTGTTTTTTTCCCCCCAAAAATATTTGGTGGATGGTGCTGCAAACCTCCTGCTGGATCACTTCCAGCGACGATAAGATCAATCGATTCGGTAAATTTTACATTAGGTACATTTTATCACAATAAAAAAACATTGATCATCTGGTTCAGGTGCCGCCGACTGGCCCGCCCGCTGCAAAGCTCCCCGTCCGCCTCCGCCTCGCTAACGATTGTTACCTGGATCCATCACCCCATCGGGAGCTGCGGGACGGCGAGCATCTTCCCCTCTGTTCTGTCCTTCCTTCTGCATCTGTTCCGATTCTCCTCCGAAGCACGCGCCTCGTCACATACTCGGTTCACCTAAGCCGGTGTGACGTCAGCGCTGTCTCCGCCACTCTGGGACCTCGCTCCCTCACCTCCAGGACGGGAGCGATGACAGTACCCGATCTGTAGCGTGGCAAAGGGGCGGGGCATGCGAAATGCCCCGCACAGGAAAAGCAGCAGTGTGCCGGGGTCGGCGGATGGAAAGTGACTAAGAGGGGGCATTGAGCGTAGGGGCGTCTCGCTAAACTGACTTAAAGGATTCTCGGTAAAGACAGGCCTGGGCGATCAGATATTGGGGGCTGGGGGGCTGACTCGGCAGGTTCTTTGCTGAGACTGGCTTTAGCGGGACAAGGATCAGCCCCCAAGGATGAGGGCCTCGTTGAGAAGAAGGCTCAGAGGAGCCTGTCTACACTCTGGTCAAGGAGAGAGTCTTCGTCACCCTCTGAGGCCCAGCACTTGGCCGGTGTGCGATCTCAGTTTGTTGAGTGACTCGTGAAAGGCACTCGCTTCTTCGAAGGCGGGAGAGAGCCGCTCACTGCCTCGGGGAGAGCGATTTGCCCTGCGGCCCGGACAGTCTGACAGACGCCCTCGGTGCCGGCGGTGGGGGGCGGGGTGCTCCTGGCCCTTCTAAGACCTCAAGGCTGCCTGGACTTCTTCCTCACAGGCCGTCCACCCCCTTCTTTGACCTGCTGCAGCACCGGTACCAGCAGCTGTGGGTGCAGGATCAGAAGGCCACCCAGAAAGCCATCAAACTGGAGAAAAAGCACAAGGTAAACACGGCCCTCGCTCCCGAGCCGCCCACGGTTAGGGGAGGACAGGAGGGAGGGGCTTGGGGAGGGCAAAGCTTTGTCGTTTGTCGCTGGCGGGCTGGAGGGCCGGGGCGGGGGCGGGAGCGTGTGGTACGGGAATCAGTTTGCTTGTCACTGTGCCGACCAGGCACCGTAGAAATTTAGGCGACGGAGGGTCTTGGTGATGATCAGGTTGAACCCCTACGTAAGCCCCGAGAATGGAAGATTACGGCCGGGGTCGCCGGTGAATTGGCCCCGTGCGCCCGTGAGGCAGGATTAGAACCAAGTCCCAACTCCCGCCGGGGGACTTCTCCGCCGGGCCTCCACGTGACCTCACACCCCCAGAAATCAGATTTCAAACTATCCTGACCTGGCCTGGGCTGACCCCGCGCTGTGCTGTCTGCAGAGCAAAGGCCGAGAAGGCAAAGCGAACAGAGAAACCACCCCCGGGGGGCGGGGGCGCCGCCAAGAACACGCTCCTCACACTCGAGGAGCGCGTCGCGTTTCCCACCCACGGCGAGGCCCCGCGACGAACACTTCACGTGTGTTGCAACCTCATCTTGCTCATGCGTGGCAAAAGCCGGGGAGCTGGGCCTCAGCCCTCTTTCTCAGGCGTGGAACTCCGGGCCCGGGGAGGCGGTGCCCACACAGCGAAACAGGGGCCGAGGCCCGGCGACACCCCAACGCCGCCGACGGCTCACGGTTTGAGAGGCAGTGGACGCGGCCTGATCACCTTACACTCGGAACTGCTTTTCGTTCGCTTCGTGCTTTACAGACTCCGTTCGAAGTACAACGGTGGTGTCCTTGGTCGCTGTAACCGTCACTCTTCCTGCATTTTGTCCTCCTGAGCACCCCATGAGGACGGTGGTGGCCCTGGTCGCTGTAACCGTCACGACCGTGTCGTCCCTCGCCACACTCCCTGCTGAGACCAGGGCTGCGTGTGCGCCCCGTCTTCCTGCATTTTGTCCTCCTGAGCACCCCATGAGGCTGCGACCTCAACAGGACATCTCAGTTTGTTTCAGATCGGGGAAACTGAGGCTCAGAGACGCTAAGTGAGTGGCCAAAGGGGTCAGACAGGCCTGCACCCAGGAGTGGCCCGCCCTGGTCCAGGCTTTTCTTGATGGCGAGGCCCCACTGCTACTGATTATGGTGAAGCTCAGGGCTCAGCGACAGTGGCTGTGATGTCCCAGGCCAACCTGGGGGGCAGTGAGTGCCTTGCCAGGGATCCTGGCGCCCTCGGGACAGGCCGGAGAGGCACAGAGGGATGGAGGGTCTCAGGTCTCCGCAGCCCCAGCGATGGCAGGGAGCCCGGACCCCTCCCAGGGCTCTCGGTGGCCGTGGAGTGACACCTGGACGCCAGCTCATTAACGCACGGAGCGTGGCAATAACATTTTAAAAGCGGCCCATGGCTAGTTTATTCGTTAATGGCTCAAGAAAGAGTCAGCTTGCTACGGTAATGGCCAGTTTCAGAGGGAGCATCGCTGTTACAAACGGCTTTATGGTGCCAAATGAGACTCGTGCTTTTTAATTAGCAGCTACTTCACGGCTCGTCCGGGTGAAGCAAATCCACAGAACCCAGAGCCTCCTGACTCAAGAGAGAGTCCCGTAGCCAGTGGCCCTGAGCAGCTAACATGAGTGGCTCTGACACCAGGCACTGGTACCAGCTCCAGCGGTGTGACTTTGAGTGAGTCAGCACTCTGTTGGGTCAATTTCCTAGGTAAAAAGAGAGGTCAGATTAAATGAGGACCCGTAGCACCACGCCCAGCACATAGTAGGCGCTCAAGAGACACTTGCTGACCCCACCCTCTCCGAGATTCTTCATGGCTGCCACATTGTTAAACAAATGGCTATGGACGCCAGCCCCACTAAGCGCTGGGGGGTGCTGTCTGGGTTGATAAACAATTTGTTAGGGTTGATAAGGTGGTCGGTTTGCAAAGTCAAGTGCCATCATCCAGGGAGAAGCCTGTCTCTTGGGCAGCTAAGGACGTCCCGGGTTTTGGACAGTGATGACCCTAAATGAAATTCTCGGTAACGTCTTCCGTTTTGTGAGCAATTATCCTGGGCCAGACACTCTGCTCAGAGCTTCACTTGGAAAATCCCCCAGGAACCCTGTTTGTTAGGCATCGGTGCCCCAGCTCCGGTGGTGGGAACTTAGGCTTAGAGAGGTGACAAGACTGTCCTGCGTCCCTCCGATTCCAAAGGCTAACTCGTTAAGCCCCGGCCAGACAGGCCCCTCTGCTTTGGTTCAGAGAGTTTCAAATCGGTTCTATAAGGCAAAGAAGATATGTGATCCAAAAAGCTCGTAAATTATTCAGACACATTCAATAAGATCACTATAACTGATTCACGAAATAAATCAATGAGTGGGGTTGGAGGGGGCCGCGGCTTCTTCAGTGAACTCCGGTTCGGCTCCCGTATGTTGACTGTGCCTCCGGCGTCCCCCATCCCACAGGAGGGCCTTTGTTGTGTGAGGTGCCGAAAACCCACCAGGCCTCAACCTCGGGGGAAACGGCCTCGCAGGCCCGGAGCTTGTACACTTCGGAGGTCCCATTTAAGAAAAAGGACACTATTCCGATTTTTACAAAAACAGAGGAGCACGTGAGCCCATGAGCAGGGCTCCGCCAGGGCCTAAGAGGGACCCCGTGCCGCCGGGAGCCCCAGAACTCAGGCTGTGTCAGCGTCCTGGGAATTACAGCTGTGCATGGAATGGGCGCAGGCAGCACTGGGCACAGTTCTTGCAAACACTTGTCATTTGTCGGGCTCAGCTCCAGGACCCACAGGCTTGAGCCAAGGCCCTGTGTCCGGGGAGACACAGCAAAGGCCTGAGGACTCATAGACAGGCAGGGACGCACCTCTCCCCTCCTTATCGGGGGACCTTCCCTGACCCCCTAAAACGCCATCTCCTCCCAGTCACCCTCTGACCTCTTACCCTGCTTCGGTTTTCCTTAAAGCACTTATCACCACCTGACATTTTTAAATGAATTCTTTTGCTTATTGCTTCTCCCACTAGAAGTTTAGCTCCATGAGAGCGGGGACTTCGTTCTGTTCGGTGATATATCACTAGCTCCTGAAACGATGCCAGGCACGTGACGAATGATCAGCGAACACTTGCTGAATGAACGAATGGATGGATGGATGGACGCTGGCAAGATGAATGAATGGATGGACGCTGGCAAGGAGCCTGGCCCAGAGCCTGGGGCAGAGACTCAGCCGTTAGCCGTGGAGCTGTCTTGATACTGGGCAATGAACCTGCAGGACGAGGTGGTCCACGGCAATGACCCTGTGTCCCTTTCCTCAGGGACAGGAGTTTCTGTGCCCCGTGGGCACCGGTGGCCTCTCCCACACCGCCCAGCCCGCCTGCTCCAGGGGTGGGGCTGCAACGCTGCCCAGGCGCTAGGTACAAACGAGAGTCCCTGTTCACCTGTTAACTCCCCCAGTTCTGACCAGCATCACAGCCGCGGGCCAGGCTGGCTGCGCGTGGGACTCCATTAGGGCAGGGGCTGAAAATGCAGAGTCCAGGGCCCCTGGCCCGCTGGTCCGGAGGTGGGAGCCTTGACCCGGCTTTGGTCCATGCTTGGGCTACCGTGACAAAGTACCACGGACTGGGCGGCTTAAACAACAGAAATCTATTGTCCCACAGCTCTGGGGACCGGAAGTCCAAGTTCAAGGTGCCGGCAGGGCTGGTGCGTCCCGAGGCCTCTGTCCTCGGCTGGTAGACGGCTGTCTTCCCCCTGTGTCCTCACGTGGTCTTTGCTCTGTGTGACACACCCGCTGTGTCTTCCTCTTGTAAAGAAAGACACGAGTCCTATTGGATTAGGGCGTCACCGTTACGACCTCAGTGAACCTTCATTGCGTCCTTAACGGCTCCGTCTCCACATTCAGTCACATCGGGGGTGACTTCAGAGGGAGCACAACTCAGGCCATAGCACACCCCGCCAGCTATAGGGCCTTTGATAGGGGCTTACTGGCACCTGTCAGCAGGCACGGGGCACGCAGTGCCTCTGAAATGCCACCTGCAGAGATCTCGGGGGCTCTGAACTGAGCCCCTAAATCCCTCCCCCGAAGGAGCCGTCCTCGCTCTTACACAAGCAGCAGGCCATGATGAGGACCTGCTCCCGAGAGACTGTGACGGTCCCCCACTTACGTACCCTCCATCTGCACACTGCGGGGTCCCTACTGCCCGCCGGGGCTGCGCCAGCTGGGGAGGAATCACAGGCCGCCTGGACGCCACCCGCCCTCGGGGTGGCTGCAAGCCAGAACCCATGGTTCCTAGGGACGAACCAGAAACTGGAACAACACGCTCGTGGCTTCCCATGGTCCCGCCCCCGAGGACACCGAGCTATGTCCAGGGCACGGCCAGGGGAGCGGATCCCGTGGAATCCGACTCGGAGAAGGGCCGATCGAGGAGAAAAGTGACCTGCGGGTCCACAGCACCAGGAAGCCCGCCCTCTGCAATCACGTGTCGTCTCAGCTTGGGCTCCTGCAGGCAGCCAGGTGAGCGTCTCTCCTTCACATTTCTCTGGCCTGCAGGTGACCCTCGGGAAGCTGTATGAGACCCGAAGCAGCCAGCTGAGGAAGTACAAGCCGCCGGTGAAGCTGGACGCCCTCTGGCACATGCCCCACTTCCAGAAGGTCAGTCTCCCTCCAGCCGCCCCCTCCCGCACAGGCCGGATGCCGCTCACCTGGCCCGCTCTTTACCGGACCTCTGGACACCAGAGTCTGCGGGCTTCTAGCCATCTAGGGGCATAACGATGACGATGATCGTGCCGATACCGATAACTAACGTGTCTGAGCACTTCCTAAGTGCCAGCCCTGAGGTCCCCTTCACTGACTCTTCACACCCACTGGCAGGGCTGCTGCTGCTATGTCCCCATGTCACAGACAGGAAGCACAGCAAATGCTGCTGGTAAGTGGCAGCTTTGGGCTAAACCTGGGTCATCTGACGTTGGAGCCGGGGTGTCTATCCACTGGGGCGGACGCCATCTGGGCCAAACCCCCTCCACTGAGGTGGTCATTGATGCACCACATCCTGCCCTGGGGACTTGGGGACACAAGACAGCTCCATGCCACCAGCTCTAAACCTCCAGCAGGGTGGCATCCCTGGGAGATGGGGCAAACATCTACGGGGGCTGGCGCGAGGGCGTGTCCCCTACGGCCGCCACGCTCCAGCCACGGGCCGGACGGCACTCATTCCGCTGTGCCGCCCGCCGAGGCGCCCGGATCGGGCTTCCAGTGAGAGCCGGGGGCGTCGGGCAGAGTAGAGGAACTAGGATACCTGGGGACAGCGGCTTCGGGACACGGGGGGCTGTGTAAGCCCAGCTCGGTCCAGTGAGCCCTTCTAGAGGCTGCAGGGGACGCGCCTGGCCCTGGGAGGACGGCTGCACAGAGCGGCTCCCGGCCAGCCCGGGCCCGGCCGCCGCGTTGCGTTAAACTGCGATTTAGACAGTGAAGGGGCCGGCGCCTTCCTGAGCCTAATGCGATCGAACAAGCCGCCGAGCTTCGCCGGAGCAGCCTGCTCGCCTGCTCCAAGCGGCCCCTCGCGCCCTGCCCCGGAGGCCTCTGTCAGCACATGTCAGTGACCATCCGCCCCGCCGCCCGTCAGCCCGGGGACAGGACCGGAGGCTTCGTAGCTCTCCCTGCACCGACGGGGCCCCACTCCGCCCTGGCCCCTCTGTCTCTCCAGTTTCCTGCCTTCGAGATCCCCCTCCCTCTCCCCGGCCCCGCTCAGCACTTCCGTCCTCGGCCTCCTTCCTGGCCCCTCGTCTGTTGCCTTCCCCGTTCACTCTTTTCGTCACCGAGGGCCCCGTCATGGGGCGTGGCTGCGGGGGAGGGACGGGACGCGCTCCACGGGCACCGGCCCCCAGCAGGGACACCCAGCCCCTCCAGCCCCGTCACCTGTGACTCAGGATCTGCCTGGAGGTCCCAAGTGCCGCTGGACAAAGTGGGGTAGAGGGGGGTCTTCCTCCCGGGGAGCAGGGGGAGGGCCTCCCACCGCCACCCCCGCCCCGGGTCACGCCTCTCTGTCTGTCCTGTGTGGCACTTCCTCGGTGGCCCGAGGCAGGAGCGCAAACGCAGAAGGAAACAAACGAGTTTCTATGTTCGATAACGGGGGTTTGATCAGCTCTCGGGCATCTCTTCAGTCTTTAGATTGTGGCTATAAAGCACCGTCATGAATGACAGCAGCCGCCCTACGATGCTAACCTTCCATGCGGTGCCAGGCACTGTGCTAAGTCACTGACGTGAGTTATTTCTTACGAGTGTCCTTATGCCTCTCACAGAGAAGCGAGAGGGTCCGTATTTCGTCACCGAGCGAGTGGCCTGGGCCTGGAATGTGGCTTTCTCTGGCCAGAGGGCCCAAGCTTGAACACGTGACCCGTCATGCCACAGAAATAACAAGGACGAGAATGCAGGCCTGGGGTTCCCAGACAGTTTTCGTCTTTGCCAGGGACCTTCGCGGGAGTGGAGAATTTCAGTTATAGGGTCCACGGAGCAGGGCCCGACCCTGAGCACAGACCCCGAGACCCCCACAGTGCTGCCATTAGGGAGGCAGTGCTCAGGACCCTCCCTCGTGGGACATGAAAAGTGTTTATCGGGCCCTTACTGGGTGCCAAGCGCTAGATATGCGTTACCTCGTAGATGTGCTGTCCCCATTCACCGATGTGGAAACGGAGGCTCAGGCAAGTGAAGGGCCTCGCCCCAAAGGGGTCCCCGGGTTCTGTCCAGGCCTGCCCTGACCGCTTCTCTTCACGGCTGGGCTGCGATGCCTCCTGGGACTCACCGCCTGGCCCTACCGGCCGGTCCCCTCTCACTGCCAAAGGACCCTTCACGGCACTTATCTACACAGCAACCAATTAGTTAACTGGGCAATTAGTCGTTCAGCGTCCAGCTTCCCCAATAAAATGTGATCCCACTGGAACCACGCCTGTCATGTCCCCAGCACCCAGCAGGGTGCCCGGCACCGAGGGGAAGGTCAGCAAGAGTCTGTAGTGAATGAATGAAGGAGAGGGCGAATGAATGAATGACAAGTACGGTCCAGAAGGACGGACCATTTCAAAAGCCCTTCGCAGAGCTGATGAGATCCCCCCTTCCCACACCGAACGCCCCAGCGTCCGCCCCCCACCCCCAGCAGCCACCGATAGAAAGGCCCGCAGAGGCCAGAGTCAGGGCCGCTGCCGTCTACAGCGGCGTCGCGCCCCGGGCCCCAGGAGGGTCTTTGTCTGTGCCTCACGCCTCCAATCCACCGCCCCCACCCCTCCCCGCCCGGGCCCCATTATGAAAGGAAAAAGTGCTTCCAAAAAAGTTGAACCTGTCACAGTGACGGATAACCTAAATGGACTCTCCCCGCTCACGAACAGATGTCGAAGCTGAACTCTGTCAGAAATAATTAAACACCTTTCACACGGAAAAGCAGCAGGCAGGGGCGCGGGCCGCTCCGGCTTCTCCGCCCCCCCAGCCAGCCCACGAGGGGGCCGCCCCTGCCAACGGGCTGCCCGGCACTACACGGGGCGCTTCCCGGGGTCACAAGCCCAAGGGGGGCCGAGGAGAGCCGAGGACACCCCCTCCATGCCATGATTCCTTGTGGGGCCCGCAGGGTCCTGGCAGAGACGGGCTGCCTGCCGGCCACTCCAGGGCTGCTCTGAAGCATCTGCGGCCAGCTGCTGCCCCTGGTGGCCAGCGCCCAGAGGGAGGGTCGGCCAATGGCTGGCGAGCGGCCCTTCGCCCAGGTATTTCACTGCGTCACCGGCCGGCTCCGAGGTCTGGGCTGGCCGCCGAACCTCTCTGGGCCTCGGTCTCCGCATCTGACCATGCAGGGGTTGGGCTAGTTCTCGAGGGTCTCTTCCAATCTAAGGTCCCACGGCCCCAAGTTCCTCAGGCCAGGAGCCAGGTGGGAGGGGGCACGGGTGCTCTGGGAGACAGCAGACCCCAAACCCAGAGTGAACTGTTAAGGAACAGCTCAGAGTCCCATTTAGGGGACAGGACATAAACTCATCACCTCCCATCCCCGAACGGCACCCTCTGCACCCCCGTGGCCTGGGGCTCACATGCCCTTCACAAGATGTGCTGGGGTGTCTGGGGCAGAGCGAGCGGCCAGCGGGGAGGGAAGAGCAAAGCAGCATGGGAGGTCTGTGTGCGCGTGACTCGAGGTCGCATGGCGACCCTGCCACTTTTTACCCGTCAGGCGGCTTCAGCTGTCCAAGACCCCATTTCGTCTTCCATAAACCCGGCTAACGACGCCGCCTGGCAGGGCTGCCGGGAGGGGTCCGCGCGGTGCACGCACACGTGCCCGGCGCCCGGCCCCCACTAAGGTCCAGGAGCGAGCAGCGGCCGTG